ATCGCTCACAGTAAGCATGCAAAAAGGAAACAGTATCCTTTTGCAAAAAAAGGCTGAAAGAAAAGGTCTTTATTTTCTTAATCTGGGATAGTCCATTTCATGTCATTAAGAAGTCCTAGATTTTGTTTTCAGTTCATGGTGTGTGTTGATAGGTGTGCCTGAGAAGAGCCTTTTCCCCCAAAGCCCCTATGTACTTTTCATACACTCCATAAATATGAAGTCATTACAATGGTCCCCTTGAGGGAGAGATGGAATCGTGGGTTCAGAGAGCTGGTAATCAGATGCCTAGGCAGGAGGCACCAGGGCTGGTCGCCAGAAAGTAGTGGGAAATAAGATAGAGACCTGTTTACTGGAACTAGGATGTAGTCAGGGGCCTGGGCTCCAAAAACAAGGTGAACCCAGTTTCTAGTACAAAGGTATCTGTTCAGAGTTGGATGCACCACAAACTGATTTGGCGCCAAGCTACCCAGCAACCTGTATGTGGTTTCTTCAATGCCCGAAGACTAGCAAGAGGATTGGTTTGGCTAATATGCGCTCCACCTGGAGTGCCCTTCCTACCTGTGTTACCTGGTGAACTCATGCATTCTTTAAGACTCAGCTCAACTGTCCCCTCTCCTGTGGCGCTTAGTCCTATGGATTTCAGTTTGGCAACATTCTCCCCTTAATTCATAAGCTGAGTTAATTGCATCAGGCTGGTGGGCCCCCACAGCATTGTGTACATGTTATATTTCATTTTGGTTGTTATTGTAGGAAAGCGTTATATCATATTGGCTTGGAATATGAACTTAGAAGTCTAACAGACCTCAGTTTCAGTCATGGCTCCACTACTTGCTAGCTGTATGGCCTAAAGAAGAAGACTTGACATCTCTGTATCTAAGCTTTCTCATCTATAAAATGGGCTCATAATTTGTTGCCTACTGCATCTGGTTGTACCAAAGATGAAAAAAAAAAAAAATGGTTCCTGTAGAGCACTTTGTATTATCCCCAGCACAGAAGAAGCCCTGTATTAACTTGGGTTCTCAGGTTGCCAGCAACAGAACCACTTGTGGCTAACAAACAAAATGGAAGGAAAACTGAACTAACAAGGACTCAGAAAAGACAGGGATCAGGGCTTTTGCAAGGATCTAGGGAGCAGAAACCAAGGGACAATTTCATCAGAGTGCTGCTAGCAGAATAAATAAGCTCCAACCATCTTTGATCTTTAGGTCATTCTAATCATGTTTATTCTCCAGGGTGAGAAGCTGACTGGCCTACCTTGGGTCACCTACCCACACCTTGATGAAGGAGTTTTAGTAGAGTAGAAAAAATGTGTCCCGGTGTCCCCCAAGCAGGTCTCACCCATCTAGTCAGCATCACTCATTTATATCCAGCCAGTGATCCTTACGACTTTTGCATATGTGACTGTTGCCGTAGACCAGTGCAGCTTTACTTATTAAATGTTACAATCACAGAACTCATTTTTTATAAGTTTTGGAGACAATGGGGAGATTCAAGTGAAGACTAAATTTTAAATAAAATTAAGAAATTATTATGAGCTTTGTTAGTGAGAAAATTCATTGACCCCCTGTTTTTTAATAGTCTCTGTTAGAGATGTCTATTGAAGTAATTAGAAGTGAAGGAAAAAAATAATCTCAGAAATTTCAAGTAGAAAGCAGATGTTGAGTTCTGCTAATCTGACCTAGGATTTTTTTAGGACAGGGAGATCTCTTCCTGTGGAAAGGCCTTCCCCTTCTGAGACTACTCTAACTTTTAAAAAGATATTTTATAGGTTAATCAAAATCCTTCAACTTAAGTCTTTTGCCGTGGTTTTGCTTATTGAAGCAATAGAGAACACATGTACTTCTACATATGTTAACATTTTGGTGAAAATGTCACACTTGTCTTATTTCTCTGCCTATTTGTTACGTTGTTGAGATGCCCACAATTACTAAGGGTTCAGCTTCCTGCTGAGTGCTGGTTGAGTGAACTGGGAGTGGCAGCCCAGGAGATGTTGCTTAAGAGCATTGTCCACAGAGTCAAAGTCATTGTTCCAGACCAAGACCTAGCCCCACTGGGTAGGCAGATCTCTAAAACTCAAGAGTCTGAGTCTGTGAAATCAGGGTCATCATAGGTCCCTCCCCAAGGTGGTTGTGATAATTAAATGAGAGAACAATCGGGAAGCACTTAGCACATTGCAGGCACCTTAGTAAGAGTTTGGGAAATGTTGGCTGGGATCCTGCTGCTGCCCTTAATTAGGCTGCCCGCTGGAAGCCTGCTCATATTATCTTCATTGATAGGGATACAAATGCATGGGAAAGCCAAGAAAGCAGGAAACAGCCACCACCAAGTAGTTGAACTGGAAGGTTCTTGGAGAGGCACAGAAACTTGTGTAACATGGGTCATCTTAGCCCTGTAGCAGCAGCCAACCTCTGGTCCGCCTCACTTTGGTGTCTGCCATCACAGTGACTCGGCTACCCTGCTTTGGTCCATCAACTCTTGCTGTGGACTCTTGTCCCTCTCTACTTCATGGCTTCTGCTGCCTCATGATTGCTGCTTAGTGCCTTTCTCTGCCTCCACTGACTCCCTCCTGACCCGCCCCTCAGTCTCTAAGAGCCCATGTTAATCGGTTGGCTCATTCATCATGCAATATAAAAAGCATCTGTTGAGTAGCACTTGCTCCTTTCCAGGCCTCCTCACCGCCTGACATCTTGGCTGCCTTTGAGTCAGGTGACTCTCCTAGTCCACGCAGCAGGGCTCAGAGTAGAAGAAACTAGACTGATGGGAGAAGAGAATACTGTCTACCCAAAAGGAAAAGCTGAGACAAAATTAATATAGAAAGCTTATTTGGGACAAGGTTGAGGACTGCAGCCCAGGACACACTTCCAAGTTGCCTTAAGAAGTGCTCTGGAGAAGGAGAGGCCCAAGTGTTTAAAGAAAAAAAGGACAAATCAAGAAAGGGGACAGTTACAAAAGTTGTTTGTCAGGAATTAATTCTCCTTGGTTTACAGAAATAACGTTCGTCAGTGATTAGCTATACATTGTTTTGGGGGATTTTTTTGTTTGTTTATTTTATTTTTGAGACAGAGTCTCCCTCTGTTGCCCAGGCTGGAGTTGCAGTGGCGCAATCTCAGCTCACTACAGCCTCCACCTGCCGGGCTCAAGCAATTCTCCTCCCTCAGCCTCCGAAGTAGCTGAGGTTACAGGTGCCCGCCCACCATCATGCCCAGCTAATTTTTGTATTTTTAGTAGAGACAGTTTCACCATGGTGGCCAGGCTGTTCTGGAACTCCTGGCCTCCAGTGATCTGCCTGCCTTGGCCTCCGAAAGTGCTGGGATTACAGGCGTGAACCACTGCGTCTGGCCTGGCTATCCATTGTTGAGCTACAGGATGTGGGTTATAGTGTCCCAGGTAGTGGACACTAATGTGTCCAGTGCAGCTAGTTTTGGCTATACCAGGCAGTTTCTGGAGAAAAATACATAGCTCAAGGAGGGAAATAGGACTTGATTGCTGTTCATTTTAATGCCTCTTTAGACCTGATAAATTGAAAGAACTGGAATTTTTCAGATAAAAGTTCTGTTCTTTCCTCAGAGGTAAGACACCCAATTTAGAAAGACACAAAGAAACATAATTATCATACAGCTAATAAATGGTGGACTTGAAACACTACATCTCGATCTTTTGGATTCCAAAGCCTATTTTCCCCCCAACTCCTCATTTCCTTAACCGCCTTCGTACTTAACTTTCTCTTCTCATAAATCCGACACTCCTCCATCTTCATTAACCTCACTTATAAGTGAGATAAAAGCTTGTAAGTAAAAATATAAAGGATTTGTTCTCTTTCTGAAACTTCCCTTGATGACTCAACGTTAAAGGGTGGAATGTTTCGAACGTTTTTACCGTCTCAGTGATAAAATCTTTCACAGCCCTTTCAGCTGCATTTATTTATCAAAGGTGTCATCACTGTGGAAAGGGAGAAAAAGAGAAGCAAAGGCTCAAGCCCCCTCAGGATTCCGCAGAGCTAAGGATAGGTCCACCTGGCCACTTCCTAGCCCCGCTTTGCCTTCACTCTCACTGGTCTGAGAGTCAATTCCCTTTCCGACTCAAAGCAGTGAGCTGTCTTGGGGCTCGATGGCCCTTCATGCATTATTCATCCACCAATGCTCCAGAACGTGAGGAAAACTTCGGGCCCCTAGCTTGCCCGCTCGCCCACCACAGAGCGCCAGCCTTTGCAAGCTGGCCTCATCAGTACAGGATTACGAAAACAGAGTTGTTAAAGACTCAGCCTCCTCCCCTCCTCACCCCGGAGCTGTCAGAGCTCTCCTGAGAGAGGGGCCTGCCTGCAACCTGTGGTCTCACAGATTGAACAAGCAAAATCCTAGAAAGGGAGTGGAGTAGTGAGGCCCAGAATACCCTGATTTGCATGAGAAAAGACCAAGATTGATGGTTGCTGAGAGATTGGCTTTGAGCCAAAGGAAAACCCAGGGCCTGGAAGGATGGGAAGGAAGAAAAGAGTGATTGAAAAGTGTGATTGAAACTCACCCAGTGGATGGGGGTCAGGTAGGCGTGAGGCCCTGAGGCCCCTCCGTCTAAAAATCCCCGAGCCTCAAGCAGGGTTTGGGGTTGGGTTAGGTGGTGCTTGCTCAGCCGACTTCAGCTTTCAACTCCGGGTTCACCTGGGCTTTTCTTTTGAAGCTGTCTGAGGTATTATTATGAACTCCCAGAACATGTCTCAAAGAATGAGCAACACAAATAAACGTTTGTGTTTGGTTGGTTACCATTTGGGGTTTCTCTTTAACTCACCTTCCAAGACACAAAAACATGCCGAAAGAGATTTTAGGCATACATACACATACATCCATCATGTACTTACGTATGGTGCACATTTCTTTTAAAAAGGAAAAGAACGCACAACCTTCCTCAGGTTTCTCAAAATTCTTGCGCTGCTTTCGGGGAACACTGAATGAGGAATGCTGAGAGATGAAAATAAATCTGAAGGAACAAACTCCTCTGCTGTTTTTCAGGTTTTACATTGAGAGCATATCGTTTTTAAAGGATAAAACCACCGTGGAACTGTTTTTCCTGAATGCAAAGGCCTGCGTGCACAAGGTAGGTGCCCCGTTTGTCTTTTCGATGAGTATGTCCTACCCCCCAACTACACACATCCACAAATGACATCTTTTCTCAAATTCTGAGTGGGAAAGACTCTGCAGGGGATTCCTGAGTATACACAATCCCCACTACTTTAAATGCAGCATATAATTGACAGAGTGACCCAGAAAGACAGAAAGATGGATCAATCAGATTATAATCAAAACGTCTAGACCAGAAATCTTTTTAAATAAGGTATGCCCTACACTTACAGTAATTCAAAACCAGCCTTATTTCAGTTCAATTTCTGCCTTCTGATCCCTGCACACACGAGCCACCTTAAATCTAGGGAAGGAAGGCTGCTCACAGCCACATGTTTTCAAGCAGTATCTCAGTTATCTGTGGTAAGGGACAGGGTTTTTCTCCTATTGTTTTTTATTTCTATCTAACGCATCAAGGACAGATCACTTTTATAAAATTCAATAAATATGCATTGCTAGAAAAATAATCCCATGCTGGGATGTTACGGCCATGTCAAATTGCTATAAAAGTTTTTACGGCCAGGCACGGTGGCTCATGCTTGTAATCACAGCACTTTGGGAGGCCAAGATGGGCGGATCACGAGGTCAGTAGTTCGAGACCAGCCTGGCCAACACAGTGAAACCCTGTCTCTACTAAAAATACAAAACTTAGCTAGGCGTGGTGGCATGTGCCTGTAATCCCAGCTACTTGGGAGGCTGAGGCAGGAGAATCACTTGAACCCTGGAGGCGGAGGTTGCAGTGAGCCGAGCTTGTGCACTCCAGCCTGGGTGACAGAGTTAGACTTTGTCTCAAAAACAAAAACAACAACAAGAAAAAGTTTTTAAACACTCTCAGTTTTTTGTCTTTTCTCTTTGCAGACTAGCATAGCTTTAAAAGCCTTCACTGTGGTCTCCTCAAGCAACTTCCTGAGGAAGGGAAGGGAAGCCATGGGCCAAGAGATGCCCAGTGGAGCCTGGCTCCTCCCTTGTACGTTATGATCTCAATGCTTGGGATCTCAGAATTCCCTCTCCAGACTGCATGTCTGTTTCCAGGCCTTCTTTTAGGTTTATTGAGCATGTTATGTGTTCATTTTACCTCTTTTGTTGGATTATTAGCTATAACTCTTTGTTATTTCCATGGTTACTTTAGGGTTTATAGGATACATTTTTAACTTATCAGATTTACTTTCAAGATGATATTATACCACTTCACATGTAGTATAACAATCTTACAATAGTATGCTTCCATTTTTCTCCTCTCAGCCCTTATGTGATTGATGTCATACAATTTACTTTTTGATAAGTTGCAGATGCACATGACATTATTATTTTTGTGTAAATATTCAATTAACTTTAAAGAAATTTAAACAGTACCAAAAGTCTTACATATTTACCCATGGAGTTGACATTTCTGTTGCTCTTTATTCACTTGTGTAGATTAATATTTCTGTCTGTTATGATTATTTCTGCCTAGAGGACTTCCTTTAGCATTTCTTGTAGTGTGGGCATACTGGTGGTGAATTCCTTCAGCTTGTACCTGAAGACATCTTTATTTGCCTTTGGTTTTGGAAACTATTACACATAATGTAGGATTCTGTGTTGGCGGTTTTTCTCTTTCCGTACTTTAGAAATATTGATTCACTATCTTCTTGCTTGCATTGTTTCTGATGAGAAGTCTGCTGTCATCTTTATCTTTGTGTTTCTGTATGGAATATCTTTTTCTTTAGCTACTTTTAAATTTTTCTCTTTTTCTTTTTTCTGCTTTGAGCAAGGTTTTTTTTTTTTTTAATTTTTTTTTTTTTTTAATTTTTTTTTTTTTTTATTTTTATTTTAAAGATGGAGTCTCGCTTTGTCACCCAGGCTGGAGTGCAGTGGCGTCATCTCAGATCATTGCAACTTCTGCCTCCCAGGTTCAAACGATTCGCCTGCCTCAGCCTCCCGAGTAGCTGGAACTATAGGTGTGCACCACCGCAACTGGCTAATTTTTATATTTTTAGTAGAGACGAGGTTTCACCATATTGGCCAGGCTGGTCTCAAACTCCTGACCTCAGATGGTCCACCCGCCTCAAGCCTCCCAAAGTGCTGGGATTACAGATGTGAGCTGCTGCACCTGGCCTGCTTTGAGGAATTTTATTATGAGGTGCCTTGATATAGCTTTCTTCATGTGTTTCTGTATGTGTGTATGTCATTGGCATTTATTGAGCATCTTGGTTTGTTGTCATCAAATTCAGAAACATTTTAGCCATTATTTCTTCAGATTTTTTTTTTTTTTTGGCCTCATGTATGCCTCATTTGCAAAGCCCAGTTACACATATACTAGGCCAGTTGAACTTGTCACACAGTGATGCTTTGCATTTGTGGGGATTTGGGGGAATATGATATCTTGTATAGTTTCTCTTTGTCTTCAGTTTCACTCATCTGTTTTTTGTAATCTAACCTGCCATTAATCCCATTTTGTACATCAGAGTTTTTGTTTTTGTTTTTGTTTTGTTTTTGAGATGGAGTCTCACTCTTGTTGCCCAGGCTGGAGTGCAATGGCGCAAACTTGGCTCACTGCAACATCCACCTCCCGGACTGAAGCGATTCTCCTGCTTCAGCCTCCCGAATAGCTGGGATTACAGGCATGTGCCACCACACCCAGCTAAGTTTTTGTATTTTTAGTACAGATGGCGTTTCACCATGTTGTCAGACTGGTCTCGACCTCCTGACTTCAGGTGATCCGCCCACCTCAGCCTCCCAAAGTGCTGGGATTACAGGCATGAGTTTTTATCTTTAGAGGTTTGATTTGGAGTTTTTATCTTTAGAGGTTTGATTTGGATCTTTTTTACATCTTGCATGTGACTATTTAACTTTTTGAACATATTAAATATAGTTATAATAATGGTTTTAATGCCTTTGTCTGCTTACCCTAATGTCTGTGTCAGCTCTGGGTATTTTCGATTGATTTTTGTCTGTATTTTGGGTGATGTTTTTCTGCCTATTTGCATGCCTGGCAGTATTTGATTGGATGCTAGGCATTATTAATTGTATCTTTTTGAATGCTATATATTTTTTTATTCCTATAAATATTCTTGATGTTTGGTTTTGGGATGCAGTTTAGTTACTCAAATATGGATTGGTTTTTTCAGGTCTTGCTTTTATTATTTGTTAGGCTAGCCCAGAGCAGTGCTCATTCTATAGCCAATTATTCTGCGTACTGATCTTCCTGAGTACTCTATTCAATGCACCATGAATTATGTTTTTTAGTCTGGCTGGTGGGAATAGGCACCACCTCCAGCCCTGTGTGAGGACGAGGCACTCTTCCCTCTTATCCTTTCAGATGGTCTCCCACTTTGGGTAGTTTCTTTCAGTGCATGGAATGATCAGTGCTCTACTGAATCCTCAAAGGACACCCTCTATAGATTTTCAGGGTTCTCTCTCTTCACAGCTGTCTTTTCTCTGGCAGTCTGTTCTGCAAATTCTATTCATTTTGATCTCCTGGACTAAGGAGTTGCTCCATCTCTTTAGCTCAGGGAGTTCACTGTGTTCCGTTGTGTTTCTCCCTCCACAGCCTGGAGCCGTCTCTTGACAGTAGTGGGGGCAATCATAGGGCTCGCCTTGTTCAAGGTTCACTATCTTCATTGCTGGATATTCAGTGTTATGAAAACTGTTGTTTTATATATTTTGTCTGTTTTTGTTTTTGTTTTTTTCAGTTAAGAGGATAAATTCAGTCCCTGTTACTCCATCTTGGCTGGAAGTATAAATATTCAAAGCAGAGTTTTTGGCTGAGTCTATGGGGAAAGTAAAATGTTCCCAGCATCAAAGGCTTTACTACAGCCCTCTTTTCGAGACTCAGGTTTTCCTAAGAACTCTAAGGATTGACTGATGAGTAGACACCTATATAACAAACACAGCTTTTCAAACACAGCGTTTACTGAGTCAGGAGCACGTTTCATAAACCACAGTTGGCCATCCTCTCCTATGTAGAGAAATACAATTGCTCCTTGTAATATCTTTCACTGCTTTGTTGGCATTGATCCAGTGTTTTCTCTTGCTAATGCAAAGATGGTTAGAAGGCAGATTTTCAACTCCTGACATTTCTCTTGTACCTCTATATGCTAAATTCTGTTTGTCTTGAGAAAGCAAGGAAAAGCAGAATTCCTTTAAATGCTGTTGCATTTTATGAATGTCAGTTGCTGGGAGCTCCTTTTTTTTTTTTTTTTTTTTGAGATGGAGTTTCACTCTTGTTGTCCAGGCTAGAGTGCAGTGGTGCGATCTCAACTCACTGCAACCCCTGCCTCCTGGGTTCTAGTGATTCTCCTGCCTCAGCCTCCCGAGTAGCTGAGATTACAGGCGCCCACCACCAAGCCCAGCTAATGTTTTGTACTTTTAGTAGAGACGGGGTTTCACCATGTTGGCCAGACTGGTCTCAAACTCCTGACCTCAAGTGATTCACCCGCCTCAGCCTCCCAGAGTTCTGAGATTATAGGTGTGAACCACCGTGCCTGGCCTGGGAGCTCCTTTTTAAATGGGAGTGTTTCATGACTTGTCAGATAATTTAGAACTTTTACAGAACATAATATTGTAAGGCACCATGACTGTTATTGAGATAATTTTTTAAAATTTTTATCTGTAGGAATTTAGAGTTGGATATTTTCTATCTAATTATCATGCAGATGGCTGGGTGTGGTGGCTCACACCTGTAATCCTAACACTTTGGGAGGCCAAGGCAGGTGGATCACTTGAGGTCAGGAGTTCGTGACCAGCCTGGCCAACATGGTGAAACCCTGTTTCTACAAAAAAATACCACAATTAGCTGGGTGTGGCAGTAGACGCCTGTAATCCCACCAACTCTGGAGACTGAGGCAGGAGAATCGCTTGAACCTGGGAGGCGGAGGTTGCAGTGAGCCGAGATCACACTACTGCACTCCAACCTGGCAACAGAACGAGACTCCGTCTCCAAATATATACATATAATGCAGATGGCTGGTAACAAATTCCAAGAGATGTTCCAGGATC